AATCGAATCTTCGTCCAGAAATCCTTCCAAACCCCGTCCTTCGTCTATACTTTTGACATTAAACATTTATAAATGCAGTTGCTGCAATTTTTGCTTTTCTAAAAACTGAGAAAATGAATGCTTAGCCGTGTGTATATAGGTAATTTCACAATACAAACCTAGGGCTTTCTTCTTTTCAGCGCCAAAATCGGTACATCTTCAAAACTGTAGCTCCAATTAGGCTGAATTACATTTATACTTATCTAGGTGTGCAGTATAGAATATTTAATTGAGAACGGCTAAGAACTGCTTTGCGAAAAAACGGAAATTTTCGTTTTCTCTGTTTCTAGCCTCAAAAATTCCAGCAATTACGCTTTTGTATGTTTGGTATCGAAAATACATGTATGCAAGTGGGAAGCTTTCAAAAACTTTTGGACGGAGATCCGATTTTTTTTTCAAAATTTTTTAGGCATTTAGAACTCTTTAGATTTGGAGTTCGAAGTTCCCGTAGAACAAACTTGGCGCGAAGTCATGGATGCCAGCTTAAAGAGATTGCTTTGCTCTTAAGCAGTATCCCTTACTAGTTTGAAAGGTGAGCCTGGTTGCTTTTGCTAAAGTAAGCAAATAAAAAAAACGACATTATCTTCTTGAGAACCTGACAAACCAGTGCATGCACCGAAATCTTGAAGGAGTATAATTTGCACCAGAACAATGCTACGCAGCATTGTGCTCATATTTGAGAGCAATCCCCTTTCCCTTCCCCCTTCACCCCTCGCACGAGGGTGGCAAATGTCAAGCTAAAAATCGTTTGAGAAAAAGCAAAATTATCGTAATTACACGTTCACATGCACTACGTACCCCTCTTAAGAACTTGCTACAACACTGCAGAAAAAAGGATCTTGTTCTCGCGTCAGCTCAACAAAGTCAAGTTTCTTTTCCATATATTAGGTTGTCCCGAAAGTTTTGTCGGTTTCTTCAGAACACTATAAAACCACGCACAATGAAGACCTGAATAAATTTAAACATGCGTTCGATGCAACTTTCCCTTCTCTTTCTTATGGGTACATTTTCGAACCACAATTTTGTATACTTTTCTTGATAATTGCCAAAATTCTCCACCCGTCAATTTTATGAGTTCAAAGTTAGGCTAATTTTCAAAACTTCGTTTCAAAGTTTCTGAAAGGATTAAGCATAGCCCACACAGATCAATTCTCGGGCTATATGGTGATATTTTTAGATTCTTTTAATATGCTGTTCTGAGCTCCAAAAAAAATAATTATCCAAGGTCTCGACTTTTGGCAAAGTCAAGAAACATGCAACTGCAGCAAAAACACGAAAACTTTCGATTTTTCTGCGAATTAAAACGTGTTTGTTATAAAACATTATTTAGCAACATAACCAAGTTTGATTTGCTTTGAAAAAGTAGCTTTTTGGGATTCTTGGCATTTCTACGTGGTGAACGTATTCAAAAAGCCGAGGTTTTTCCTAAATAAATAATTATTACAGAACTTGATAAAGGCGCCCCATGAAACTCAAAATAGGTACAATGTAGCCAAAGGTTTACTCTACGTAAAAATTACCAGCACTCTTTAAAAATATCAGGATAAAAATTTCTAAAATTGAGGAAATTTTTGGCGTTAGTGTTGAGCTGCTCAAAAAGCCATAACAGATAGCATCGCAAAGACAGGGTAGGTCAGAGAGCAAATACAGCTGTAAGAAAGAAGATGAAAATCTGAATCAAATGGTACCTAGACCGCTCATGGATTGATGTTCTGTGAGTTGTAGTGAGCGATGAAAAAAACCGACAAAACTTTCGGGACAACCTAATAGTAACATAGCTTCCGAATTTGGTGTGTGAATGGAGCAGGGCTAGAAGCATACCCTCGATACATAGAGCCACGTACTCTGGTAACCTTCACTTTGAGGGCTATGAAGAGAGACAACCTTCACCTGGAAAAATAGAAGTCATCTGGGGCTTCGCCCCGAATGTCATTATCCTGGCTATATCGGAACGACTGTCAATAAAGCAAATACAGAGAATATAGGGGATACCTTTAGGTATCTCACTGTCGGGGAAACCGAGGATTTGCGTTTCCGTAGCTTTTTTTACGTTAAAAAGAAGGTTTCTATGAAGTTTTCGCAGAAATTCAGGACAAAATTTCTTAGTTAACCTCTAATTTGACCAAAATCGACTTTCAGAATTTTAGGAAAGCTGTTGGAAATGAATAAAAACGAGAAACTGCGTTTAAATCTTGCGCAAGTCGCGCATAAAAATCCTGCTCTATCTCGTTAATCAGTAATTTTCAACACTTGGGACGTTGCCAGTTCTCCTCGTTGTGTCATGACGATCATTCTGCGTCTCCGCGCGCTGCGCGCTACCTCGCTACCCCAAACGCAGGGCGCGGGGCATCTGGCTCTGGTACCCTTTTCTTTGCTCTTTCGAAGCCAATTTTAGTAAGCTATATTTCGTTTTGAAGCTCTTGATCTCTGCTTTCACGCTGACAACGTCCCAGGCGCACATTTTTTTGATTTGATCGGAAAATCCTGCAAAAACCTTGTTTTCGAAAATCTCTTGTTTTTTCCCTAGTTTAACTCTTGTCACGCGGTTTTTTGTGCATTCTATAGATCTTCTTTCTATTCACAATGCAGACAACCATCCTGCCCTTATCTCTTCGATTGTGGTGGAACGTTTTGCGAAAAATCATAGAAAGTGCGTTTTTCTCTACATTGTTCTGTTTCAGTGCTTCCGCAGCGATTTTTTCCCACCTTGTGCGATTGTTGCTCAGAACGATAAGCGCAATAATCCAGACAACGTCCCAGGAAACAGGAATGTCAATGCGGGGATAAAAATTCAATGGACGCTTCAGAAATTAAAGATGGCTTTGACGTTCTTTTCCATTTAGTAAAAAAAGAACTTTGCGTTTTCATAACTAATTTTCTTTTTGTTCACATTCTTCTTGATAATCACTCCTTCCGAAACATTTTTTTAAAACAATCACAAAGAATAAATTAGTACTTCTTCGCTTTCTCCCGTGTTGCGAATTGCTGGTCCTGGAGCAAAAACTCAAACTTTGTTAAGCCTTCAAAGGAAAGAAATCAAATTTCATTGCAGCGTTTTTAACCGGCCTTTAGCAGTTTCTTTTGCTTTTTCTACCTGTTTTACGTCATTATCTCTTCTCTCATCTTCTTTAAACAACCTTCACTATTTATGAGGTCAGATGTTCAAACAACCTTCACTTTTGGCGCCCTCTCTGTAGACTATCGAAGGTATGGCTAGAAGGAGCACTGTGCAGAGTACTGTGGGAATACGACTGAAGAGAGCGTGGTAAGTTTTTTTGGAGTTTTCCACTGCTGATAAGTAAAGATGACCGTATTCAACTCACTGATAGCGATTTGGCTCCAATTCTATTGTGTATATGCGCAATAGAAAGTTGGGATGAAGTATGATTAGAAGAACTTACGTGAGTAAAGCGGGCTCGACTTTCTTCCAGATTAGGTGGGTGCGTATCGTTACGTGTGAAGGTCAATTGCGCAGGCTCCGCGCGCGACAGGCTGGCTGTAACCAGCGTGAGGAGGACTCAGCCATCAAACAAGGCATATTTCTCCACAACTTATCACGTTTTTGACCGCGAAATCGCGCGCTGCAAAAAAGAGTGCACTTTCAGCTGTTAGCCAACAAGGGGACCTTATTTCTCAGACTGTGTGCTACATCTGTAATCAGCGTGTCAGATAAGCTCCATAGCCAAAATTCTGAGTGAATTCGAAGTGTTTGAATTTTGTCGCCTTGAGGGGGATTTTTGTGCTTTTTTGGAAGACAGGAACAAGAACTGAGTTTTAAATATATTCAAAAGTAACTATGTTGTACACAGTACACATCATTATTGAAACTACGGTTATTCTCTTTGAAATCGAAGCAAAGAAAAGCTGCGGCGTCGCACGCGTCATTCGCGTTGCCGCACTTTGTTGCAACTGTTGTTCGATTTGTCCTCATACCTCCTAAACAAATATCTGCGGCACAGCTCTACGGCTGCACGTCAGGAGGGACGCCGCGCGATGCGGCCGCTTTGGAACGCGTGGCGTCTAAGCCTTGGAACCCACAGAGCTCCCCACTAGCAAAGATTCCCGGCGGCAAAAACATGGTGGTGGGGGTGGAGGCAGATACATGACTCGATGTCATAAGTAACGTTACATCTAGAATGCTACTACTGTACTGGTTGAAGTGCGTTGCGGCGTCGCTTCGCGAAAAAATGGCGCCGACCGTACCTCCTGACCGTCCCCCCAACTCTACAGAATCATTTGAAAAGTAGGATTAGACCTTTGACTCAATAACCCTGGACTAAAAGAAAACCTTCTGTAGATGTCAGAAAGATCCTTCAAAGCAGCGTGCTGCACCATGTGTGGCACCGGTCCGAAACGTGTTAATAAGGTATTGTATCTCCATATTAGTGTATTTTATTCAAAGTTCGCCAGCAAATCTTCTAAAATCATGCTCAAAGAGAACGAAGAGGGAAACCTAAAACCAGCCCGATGGTGGCAAAATGTTTAGTTTACATGTGTGTTTAGAACTTTCCACATATATCCGTTCTAAGGTTTATTATATAGCACTCTAGATCGGTTCGCTTTCTCTTTGCAGGAACTCAAACAACGATGAGGCTACTGTCCTTGAGGAGAGAACCACGCTTTAGTTGAAATTCGCGCGGTTCAAGAGGAGAATTGTATAATTTGGAGTGGCAAAGCGAGACCGTTTCTTAGGCGTCCATCGGCCATCCTCGTGCCGAGCCCTGTCTCCTCCCCCTTCTCCTATCCAGCTCTCAGTCTACGTATATACCACATCTCTGACTTTTATTCAACTTGATGGCTTTACTTTGTGAGGACGACGATGCCGGAAGAGAACTTGCACCGATCCTCAAACTTTCTATTTATTACTGACAGCGGAGAAGAAAAATTGCGTGGAACCTTTCTCGGTCTTCAAAGTGGAGACAAAAAAATGTTTAATTTTATTGATAGCTTGAGAATTGTCATCATCTTTGAGTATCTTCCAACAATGATTGCTTAAAAGCGCTTGGATGGTTGAAATGGAGTTTTTCGCGTGATTCTATTGTTGCAACTTTTCTCGACATCATTTTTACAGATTCAGTATTCTCAAATTTCAAGCTTTCCACTTTTTCTAGGGTGTCGTCTTCATCTGATCGTTCCTGTAAGAATGTTTGATTCGCTATTGTTTGCTTCAAAAAAAAGAGAACCCTACTTGATAAAAACCCGCAGCTATTTTTTGTTTTTTCTCCCTTTCTAGCTCTTCAAGGCGAAGTTTTTGTGCACTCGGGGTCGGTTCGTTAATCTCCGGATAAGGTAGGAGTTTAGGACGGTGCTTGTTCACTTGGGTCCTGTCAATCTTTAAAGATTTCTCGACCAATTTAGTAGAAATCTGCGTTCTCTCTGCCTTCGCAGGTGCTATATCGTCTGAATGAGCCACTGGAGTTGTACTTCTGACAAAACCTTGTGGTGTTCTCTGAAAATTTTTCATGTGCCCAAGTGTTCTTGTTAGTTCCCAAAACGTCTTTATTTTCCCATGTCGCCGGTATTGACATCGCTAATGCCAATACTGGCAGCCGCACTGCAGATAGCTGTTGATCGCTGGTGTTTTTACTTGCTCAGTCAGTACCTACTTCCACATAGAACTGCAGCGTGCGAAGCTTTCAGGTCGAGCAGGCGGTGGTTGTTGAGGCACCATAAGTTTGAACAAATCAACAGTTTTCAAAGTTATGCGAATTATCTTACCGAGATCTGTGTTGTGCTCTTGATTGGGGTTTGTTCCCTCGCCTTTGATGTCTTACTAGCTTGGCCTGATTTGCTTCTATTTATATGGATACACATTGTATTACTTTTAAAATCATAAATATAAGCGTCACATGCAAAAGTATTATCTGGAAAAGTTTTTTGAGGGACGTAAGCACGATCTTACCCACAGTAATAGTCGATATGATTATAAAGACACAGGCTCCGCGCAGTGCCCGCCACCCTCGTCGGATTATCGTAGCAAATGAGGCATATACAGAGAAGCGGTTAAGGCTTCATTTCATTGCCATTCACCAAAGAGAATTCAAGGCATCCGGCATTAACATCATCTACAACAGCGCGAATCATGGCTATTGTGTTACCCAGCCACTCGCCTACCTTAAGCTTAGAGATTCTCCACACATTCAGCCAGTTAATTAGAAGAACTTCACGAGCTCTTCCTAAGTAGTTCAAGTTTTCGGTGAAATCGCGGTACTGCACCGCAATTTCGGCAATTTTACAGATTTTGACCGATTTCGGAGGTGATTTCAAAAACTGTGTGAAAGGAGCGGAAAATTGCCACAATAATAGGCGATTCACTGGTACAAATGACTTTTGAGCTGTTATTTCTCGATAACGCTACACGTATGTAGATAGTAGTCACTTTTATATAGAAAAATAATATAAACACTATGGCGCACGTATATACATAGAACCGTCAGTTTCCAACGCAGATGATACTAAATTAATACAAATGTTGCAAAACACTACTTACTTTTCAATAGTCAGAGTAACATGTTATGAAATGATCAAAAGAAATGAGGCGAGAACGCAGCACATTGATATACAGGAATGAGAATCACGAATACTTGGATAAAACAATCACTGCTGAATCCTGCGAGACTGGAGCAATGCATGTGACTCAGTCGTTTCGCAAAACCGCAAGTGGTAATATAGCAACTATTCGACTAATTTCGCAAAACTGTGCTCAAGATTGAAGGTAAGTATATAGGCTGTGCCAGCCAGCATCGGTTACGCGACGTCGCGTCTGCGGCAACTTGCGACGGTGCGGTGTGACGCGTGCGAACTCTGCTACGCGTTAAGGCTCGTCGCGTGCGACGGTGCGTCGTCGCAAGCCATACCGGCGCGGGACCGATGCTGGCTGATACAGCCTATAGCTGAGTTTCAGACACACAAGCAAATTTAAAAATCATCAACAAGGTCGCCGCTTATCTACGAGTCAAACAATCTAAATTATAATACTTGAGCAATAAATCTACCAAGCAACATATAAACTTCTAAAACGACTCCTCCTCGAAAGTAGCATTGTCCACACCCTTTGTAAGGCTGATAGCACCTGAGTCTTCTTCCCTGTTGGCACCATCTGCACGAGCATGTGCGTCATCACTCCATGTAGTGATGTCGTCTATCGGCAGACTGTCGACAGATAATGTTTTGGAGAGTTTCTGCGCCATTGATGTTATAATAGTCTCAGTCTCGGGAATAACCATCACATCCAGCTAGAAAAATGAACCAGAATAATTTCAAAGTCTATTTATAGGTCATTGAGGTTATCGCTACCTTTTGATCATTATATTGCATATTGTAGTAATCCTTTTGAGCATCCAATTTCAGATAACTGTACTCCTCAGTGATCTCCTCAAGTTGACTAGCCAACTTCTGGCGGATTGTCAAGAAGTTTGGGCGCTCTTCAGGATCGAGTTTCCAGCACTCAACCATCACTTCATAACTGCAAGACGAATACAGTCATTATATCACTAAGAAGTTACATCGTTATAACTCACAAATCCTCCGGACAGTTATCTGGTCGCTCCATTCGCCCACCACTTTCAAGATATTGAAGCATATCCTCAGGAGGAGTGAGAGGGTAAGGAGAGCCACCTAGAGTGATGATCTCGAAGAGTAGCACTCCAAACGCCCACCTGAACTCATAACGTTATAGTTGGCACAACATATGTCTGTTTCCGGACCAAAATGCACACCTCTGTGCATAGGCCAATATGCAACGTATTATATGCGAGTTTAAGTTTAGAACTGGGCTTGTTGTAATGATATACAGTTTTCCAAAGGAATTAGTTTTGCGCATGGCACCGAAGAAATGGAAGATACCGCAACGTCTAATACTGCAGAGACTGCTTCTGTGTTCGCGCTGTTGTATCGTATCCATATCGCTTCGTTATTCTCTCTGCCGTGACTCACTTTTGTACAACTTATCTGACACCACCGCCGATATCATCTCAAATTTTCAGTAGTGACGTTCGCTCCGCATTAGCATTTGTTGGTACCACCCGCTCTCCACAGTTCCCCCTCATACAGGCGTTCCAGCAAATTAGCTGTGAGGCTACGTGAAGCGTCCGCTAGGTAGCGGAAAGGGTGTCAACTGCCCACGAAAAGCGGCCCACTCCCGAGCAAAGCAAGCGATTTTGTAGAAGCATCCCCTGCCTTCTCTAGCAGCTTGCACCCCTGTTCTCTGGGTAGATGTGAACGCGGCGGTTTCGGAGTTGCCTCCAACAGAGGCTCCGATCATCAATCGCAAGGTTTTGTGCTCACTTAGCTGTGACCTGCTAGCAAATTGACGCACAACACAATGATAACATGGACTCTCTCAAATTAGAAACTACTGATAAGACATAGCCAATAGGGACAAGCTTCAAAGGGTGATTTGTGTTGCCAAATACTCGATGGAGAATGATGGCTATCGGCAATTAACATGTTAAGACGGTCGCATAGAACGCGTCCATTAGAATGTGATGACGCAAGTAAAAAAATCAGCGATTTCATCAAGATACACCACTTGCTGAACGTCAAAACGCCAACGGCAACGCTAGAAGAACTATCTTTGGAACATGCGATGGTTGTAATATGCTTAGGTTCTTGTCAACTCCAATCTGACCATGAACATCTCCATTTGAACAACTAGCAACCCGAACTCGACCTTTAGCCGTCCTCATTCCAATGACAAGGACAAGTTCGCAACATTTTATGTGGACTGTAAAGGCTCTAGAAAATCAAAAATTCTACAAGATCGTTGTCAGCGATGAAAACGTGAAAATTGGCGCTAAAAGGTCGCCTGAGAAACTTCGATCGAGACCCATGGACTACAGTGAAACAATGAAAGGGATAGATCTGCAAGTTCATTATGACGACGTTTGCGGTCGAAGGAATTTGGTGTGCTCAGACAATCGATCGGACCCCTCCGCCGGACCCTCGGAAACTGCCAGGGTCGCGCCGGACCCAGTTGACCAATGAGAGAAGGGCAAATGGGCGGTCCATCGCGGTGGCATCACTGGCAGGCAAATGGGAGGCTTCTCCGGCCCTGCTGCAAAGGTCCGCCATTTCTCCGGCGCGACTCTGCCAGATTTGACGGACTCCGCGCCGCAGAGGTCTGCGCGGCGCGTGTCCGCCAAATTTGGAAGACACGCGCCGGAGAAAATCGGAGGGGTCCGGAGCAGAAATGGGAGGTATCCGGAGCAGAAAATGGGAGGTATCCGGAGCAGAAAATGGGAGGTATCCGGAGCAGAAAATGGGGGGTATCCGGAGCAGAAGATGAGAGGTCTCCGGAGCAGAAAATGGGAGGTATCCGGAGCAGGCTGCGTATCGATTTGGCGCGTAGCAAGCAAACGTATAACTCCACGGTGATGAGTCCTCTGTTTACGCTCTTTGTCCATATTTTAGTCGCCGTTTCTTTGATTCTGTTGTTTTTGCGCGTTTCTTTACCGTTTTTTCCTTTTCCGCGTTGCTCTTCGTCGCGTTGGCGTTTATGTTGCTGTAAGTTCCTCGTTTTCAGGTTTATGTTTGAAATTTTCGTGCGGTTGCACTCAATCACCTTCAGTGTTTGGCTCTTTCCGACTTGCTGAGACATCGTAGACTATTGATGGAGTGGTTTTTGTGATTAATTCTGGATTTTCGAAACAATGAGGTTAGTTGCGCAACTAACCAGTGTTGTTGTGATGAAAGTATCGTCTAAATAATCCGTTTATTGCTATAGTGTGGACCCCGGCCAGGTTCCCATAGGTACCTCCGCGGCGCGCCCGCAGCGCATGCCTTCAGTGCGCTTTTCGTTTCGGCTCTGAAGGGATTTCTTTCAATTTCCTCTTTCAAGTGTGTTTGTTCTCTTCTGTAATCTCTACTTTAGATGTAAACGACACACGTCAACTGCTGGTGATGGATTTTTACGAGTCTTGACAGTCTTGCAAGCATTTGTTTCGAAAATCTTGTTTTTTTCTCAATAGTGAAGATTTCGGTGTAGTTCAGAGACATCTCTCCAAAGGTTGTTCAGAATAAGTGTATATGCAGTTGATTTTGTGGAGTGTAGATGCTTCTAGCCTTTTGTTACACCATCAGAGCTTTGCAATCGTGCTCTTGAGCTCAAACTTTCTGGGTTTTTTTATGACCAGAAGGAAGACTTTTCAGAATTGTTCTTCGACTTTTCCTGTTACTTCTATCATCCATCGCTGGTAGTGTCATACACTACTAGCGATGGATAATAGAAGATTCCAGTTAACTATGAGATTGACTGGAATCTGAGCGCTAGTAGTAGAAGTTGTGAAGGTTCTCCTATTGCCTTGGCTTTTCTCGTGTTCGGATTACAGGCCTCCACATCTCATTTCACTCCTGTTTTCGGTTATAATGCTTTTTTGTTCGTAAGTGAAATGAGAAGCGTTCAAGTCGGGTTGCGTGTGCGCCGCGCTAGTACCTATGGGAAGCTGGCCGGGGTCCACACTATCTCTCTCGTACGTATGCTTACCAAGTCGATCGACTTTTCATCAGACGTTGCAGATCCTCACTATATCGTTTCTGGCTTGAAAGATAGGACAAGGCAAGAGATATGTTGACAAAAGTCTTGGAGGCAACTCCAAACGATGTTGAAGTTTTGTGACTGTTACTGAAGCATTGTGACTGTTACTGTTGCTTAGTCACATCACATTGCTTCCAGTATTGCTTAGCGAGATTAGGGACTGATAAGGCTAGGTAAGCATGTAAATGTGAAATGTTTGAGTCACATAGCTTCTTCTTTACTGTTTATGTGACTTTCAATTACAATTTGCAGAATCGCTTTTGAACGAGCGTTGGAATTGCAAAATGACAATGTTTGTGCTCTCTCAGCACTTGCCACTTTGGATTACAATACGCATACTGTCGAGGGAGCCCAAAGTGCAGTGGCTTGTCTAGGCCAAGCGTATAGTCTGGAGCCGGAGAATCCGGTTGTCTTGGTCCATCTTGCCAACCACTTCTTCTTCAAAGGAGTCAGTGCAGAAATTCTTTGAATTAATTACGAATTATCTATACTAGGGACCTTTTAAATTTGTCCAAGCTGTTACATCGAGGTGTTTATCGCTTTATCTGAAGGCATCACTTTTTCAGGAAATGAACAAGGTTGAACGGTTAGCGTGGCATGCAATGAGTATGACGGAAAGTGACGAAATCAAGGCCGAAGCTTGTTACATTCTTGCGCGGTTCTTCCATTTCAACAGAGACTATGAAAAGGCGTTCAAGGTAAGTTGCATATGCAAGAATTTCAATCCATGTCATCATCGTGTCCTAGTACTATTATCAAGCAACTACGTTGAATCATCCTACTTTCGTTTTGCCCCAGTATGGCCTTGGGCCTCGGAATTCGAAGATGTTTGGATGAATATAGCTCATGTATATATCGCACTTGGACAATATGTCCCTGCTTTGCAAATGTGAGTTTATGGCGTTCCTCGCTGTTTTGTTTCATGTTGCACAGAATGCTTTTTTGATCTTTTTGTCATTTTCTTACCATGTTAAAACCATATGCTTATACTGTGGTGTTACAAGGTTCTTTTTGCAACTAGGAAATTAGTTTTTCTTTGAATATTCTTATCACTCCTAGTATGGTTTTTGTAATATGAATTAACTGTTGTACGTATGCTGGAGATAGATAGATAGATTTTTCGAAAGTTTGATAAATTTGAAATAAATGTCTTATCTCTTCGTTCTTTCTTCTATCTTCTATCCACAAACGCTAGGGGTGAGAGGGAGGGGGTAGAGTACGGGGTGAGGGTCGCGCTAAACTCCTACCCGGGGGGGGGGGTCCTATTCGGCTTATTTGGGTGGGGTTTAGAGACAAAATTGGGGTTTGGAGCTTAAAGGCAGCGTCCAGGCAAGTCTGGACCTATGGGGATTTTACATGGAAAGTATTTTGGGGCCCTAACTAAGCCACTACCCAACCGGCAGCTCAAGTAATGCTCTAACACCTGAGATATTCTGCTCGAAACCGGACCCCGCGACCGTGTTTCGCATGGATTCATGGCGCAAAGCGTGGATCCTGGCGCGAAACTGCCATGAATCCATGCGAATACGTTCGCGGGGGGTCTGTTTCGAGGGGAATATCTCAGCCATTGGAGCACTACCTGAGCTGCTGCTTCGGCAGTGCCTTAGTTAGGGCCCCAAAAGTACTTTCCATGTAAAAGCCCCATAGGTCCAGATCTGCCTGGAAGCTGCCTTTAATTAGGGCTAATTACAGTATGCTGCGATCGGGGGGCTCCGGCGCACAAAATCGGGGGGCTCCGGAGCAGAAAATGGGAGGTATCCGGAGCAGAAAATGGGGGGTATCCGGAGCAGAAGATGGGAGGTATCCGGAGCAGAAAATGGGAGGTATCCGGAGCAGAAATGGGAGGTATCCGGAGCAGAAAATGGGAGGGCTCCGCCGGACAAATGGGAGACCCACCGCTGGGGATACGCCGCGACCCTGCCACTTCTCCGGCGGAGGGGTCCGATCCGCTGTCTGAGTGAGATAGATGCAAAGTTTTCCCCTCCCCCTTCTCGCGCTGCCACTTTCGTCCTCATTGGCTAGGAATCACTGCTGACTCGTAGAAGGATTTGATAATTGTTACTTACACATCGCTCTGTGCAGAAAATTCATAATGCCGTATAGCCTCTGGTGACATCCATTTCAACGGTAGGCGGCCACCCTGCAAAGATTCATTTTGTTTACTGAGTGTCTATTTTTTGACAAACCTTGCTCTTATAGAGTGAACTATCCGAGTACAAATTGCGGCAAAGTCCGAAATCGCCTATTTTGCAAGAGTTTTTCCCGTTGACAAGTACGTTTCTGGCGGCTACGTCACGATGCACAAAACCTTTGGATGAGAGATATTCCTAGAAAAGTTATATAAGCACGGAGCTCTGAAAACTAGCTAAAATAAACTCACAAGTCCATAGCAAATCTGAACAGCAAACATGAGCAACTGCTTCAAGGTTACAACCATGTCGATATTGTAGTTGCCGTCTATGGGAGGATCATGATAATTGATTCCTGCTGCGTCAAGCTACAAGGAGCACAATCCCATGACTATATAGACACTTGCAGTGAGCACATGAGAGACACTCACATCCATCATGTACTTGCATCGCTCTCGCAAAAAATGCAGCAAATCTCCATCGCTGCAGAATTCCACTACGAGACACAGTGGTTCAGATTCAGTAATACATGCCAGCATGTTAACTAGCCTAAAAATAATCAATCTTGCTTTGACTTGTAGATATTCATTCTTCACGTCCATGCGGAAAGAAAGCCTTAGCATATGTTTTAGAAGACGACTTGCAAATCGTAAGGTGGTTGGTATGGACAACTCTGGTATCTTTCCCATCCACTGTATTTATCTTTTCGATTTGTTTTTTATTCTATCGCTTCCGGCCGTTGAATAATGCAGCAAAGCATCGCAGAATAAACTTCGTAAATTTCCGTAGCTTGATAACTACAGCGTGCGATGGATGCGTCAAGGGGATCTCCATTTCAAGATGCAACACATAAATCAGTCAAAGTCGCGATTTGGATTAGATACCAGAGACAGCATACAACATAAGAGAAATACCAAAACCTTTGATTTGACATGTACAGAAAAATGGGAATAAAATAAAGATTTGACATTGAATGAGAAAAAAAAACCATTTTCTTGCTTCACCCAACATCAGTATCTGTGCCAACTTGTTTCCAATTTCCGGTTTTTTTTTCGTGATTATTATCAACGAAGATGTTTTTCAAAACAACATCACCTTTCATGGTATCCAAGCGTCTTCATCAGTCCAATTTCCCTCAAAAATTCGCCTCGCGACGAATCATCGGCGTATTCCGGCAACATTTTGACAGCGACCTAAAAGAACTCATCTAAGGGGCATCACAAAAATGTGCAAGAATCGTCACAAACCTGACAGTTTTCAGCCCTCATCAGATTGACACCTAGTGGTGATGTGGCATCTTTATTTGCTAAAGATTTCCCGAGGAGTTTTCCTATACAATAAAATTCATAGAGCTTCACCGAAATGATCAGAATGTGATCGAAATATGGACAACGAGTTCTCACCCAAGTAGACAGCACCAAAGGCACCAGAACCAAGCCTTGTTTCGTCGAAAATTATCAGATTACGACGTTCAATCTCCCAAATGTCATGCCTGAAAAGAATGATCATGCACCTGATGACAAGGATTAAGCTATTTACTTCTTTGGAAGGTCAACATAGCGAGTTTCCTTTTCTTTCTCCAGTTGTGCTAACTTCAGCTGGTACAACTTGTTCTCTTGTTTCTGCCTCCTATTGATGTAGCAACATACAGCGATGATGCCCACTACCAGCAAAGTCAAGGCTCCGACAACTATGCCAATGATCATTCCGACTTTGCTTGACGTATCTAGACACCAAAAATAACATTAGCGACTTAGGGCCGCATGCACTAACATGACCGCGGGGAGGGGATCGCAGCTTAAAAGAAAGCTTTATATCCCGAGACTCCACATACCTGGATTTCACGTTGTGTACCTATCCGTAAGTATTCCTACTACCCTTCACTACGAACATGTTGAAAAGGAGCGAGAAGCTGTACGAACCGCGTTTTCCAGCTTTAGTATGATCCCTGATGATCCCCGGCGCTTTTCTTTAAAGTCATTTTTCTTTCTCCGAAGTTAACGAAAAACTTCCAAAGTTGTGCAGATTATCTAACTCAACAGTGCTAAGCATGTTGCTGATAAGAACAAATGATGTTTTGAAGTCACGAAATTTTCGATGATCCACAGGTCGAAATTTGGGGTATACCGAAAAATTCGACTTCTCAAAAACTCGTTTGTTCTCATCAGCAACATGCTTAGCACTGTCGTGTTAGATGTTCAGTACAACTTTGGAAGGTTTTCGTTAACTTCGGAGAAAGAAAAATGACTTTAAAGAATAAATGTTCGTCCCCCAGGGGTCATCAGGGGATCCTACAAAAAGCTGGGAAATGCGGCTTGTACAGCTTCTCGCTTCTGCTCAATATGTTCATAGTGAAGGATGGTGGGAGTACTAACGGACAGGTAGACAGAGTGAAATCCAGATATCCGGAGCTTCAGGATATGAAGCTTTCATCTGAAGCTGCGATCCCCTCCCCAGCGGAAATGTTAGTGCATGCGGCCCTTATATAGAATCCTCCAAATTTGTATACCTTTGGAGCTAATGTATATTTTATTCGCTCGGGGTCTGAAGGCTCTGCTGCTTTCAGTGAGATCAGGAATGGTTAGATTTCTAGGGTCCTTCACAGCACAGAATGTGATGCCGTAAATTTTGTCAAAGTGAATGCCAGAAATCGAAACGCTGTTGTTTGTGCTTTCCTAAACATTGATGAGTCTACACAAGCTGTCTGTGACTCCATAGTCCTGTTTTGTCCATATTCCTTTGTATAGAGCTATTTTGCAAGCAGTAGAGAAGACTACATAAAGGTACGCATTGAGAAAAAAAACTTTCTATTTTTGAGCAAATGCCAGTGCAAAGCAAAAGTTGCACAATGTTACATTGATTTACTGTATCTTACAAGAAAAAATACTAATAAGTGGATAGAGGACAGTCACCAAAAAGGAGACTCGTCGCGGACATTTGCAACAACCACCCATCCCTGCAAATTACGGGCTTGTGCCAGCTGTCTGCGCAGGTAAGACTGTCGGAGACATATTGTCCCGAATTCATACTGAACCAATCTGACATTTTTGAAGTAATTCGTTTCGCCTAATGCAGCTCGAGGCGCTGATTTCAAAACTGTTTTGCTTCTAGAAAAATTTATATGCACCAAAATCAGCAAGATCAACAAAGACTGAGATGCTTGTTTCATGCAAAAAAGCAATGAAAAGCAGTACTCTTTGAGTAAACTAGGATTCGCGTGCAGGTTATATTCAATATAGCTGGCTTACCCGGCTCCGCCGTATCCGGACCAAACTTGGCACACATACACTTCGGGCCCCGGCGGGTGTCACAGTCCACTTTTCGTTATCGATCGATGTCGATTTTACCGTTTTTTATCGATTTTTTTGCAGAGTTCACCTACAGGGCTAGGAGTTGGCACAGGGGGAAGTGAGCATGGGGATTTCGAATACAATATTAGTTTTCAGGATCGTCCATTACTTTTATTGATTTTATCGATTTTTTGTAAATTTTGACATGCGAGGCTGGGATTTTGCACAGGGGGGTAATCGAGCATGCTGATTACGAACACAATATTAGTTTTCAGGATCGTCCATTACTTTTATCGATTTTATCGATTTTTTTTGCAAAATTTGACCTGCGGGGCTGGGAGTTTGCACAGGGGGTAATCGAGCATGCAGATTACGAATCTCGATTACCCCCCTGTGCCAACTCCCAGCCCCATAGCTCAAACTTTGCAAAAAAAAATCGATAAAATCGATAAAAGTAATCGATAATCCCGAAAACCAATATTGTATTCGGAATCCCCATGCTCGATTACCCCCCTGTGCCAACTCCCAGCCCCGTAGCTCAAACTTTGCAAAAAAATCGATAAAATCGATAAAAGTAATCGATAATCCTAAAAACCAATATTGTATTTGGAATCCCCATGCTCGATTACCCCCCTGTGCCAACTCCCAGCCCCGTAGGTGAACTCAGCAAAAAAATCGATAAAAATCGATAAAATCGATATCGATCGATGATGAAAAGTAGCCTATGACACCCGCCGGGGCCCGAAGTGTATGTGTGCCAAGTTTGGTCCGGATCGGTTCAGAAATGGAATTTTCTATTCGGAACATACGTACACACATACATACAGACAGACAAACAGACATTCAGCTTTATATATAAGATGAGTATTGATTCTTGCTATGCTTTTCATAATTCAATCTTTCTTCAACTTCGTATCCTTCCCTAGCTAGGATACTCCAACATTCTGAGAAATTACCTGGCAATACCCATGTTGGTCGAACTTTAAGCAGTTGGTAGTATTCCCAATGATACGCGTCATGTTGACCCCAGCGATGGCCTCCTGAAACATATTGGCCAGTATCTGGAGAACAGAGATGTGGCGGAAAAGACTAAAATTCTCGACTAGGTATTGCGCAGGTCGAACCTCTTCTATCCTAGGGTATGGCAACGCTTCTCCATAGAACGCTTTGTAATAAATCGTTGGCGCCTCGTTCTTTCGCACAATTGGATCGAATGTGATGTTAAGCGTTAGACTCGTTTCTTTCTCACCAGGTTCCAAGTACTTCTTCGTCACCTGCAACCATGGACCTTGTAAGAAATCGGCATAAATGCTATTACTACCTTCTGGTGAATACTATTAATCTGGCCGCAGAGTGGAGCTGGAAATACGTCTACATGCACGCATGGATTGTTCTTCACGTTATCACAATCTGAAAATGATTCGAATTCGAAGAAACAAATTCTAACGAAGATGAGAAGCACAAATGATACTGTTACAGCGATATTGCTTGTTTAGTAGAGTCTTTACGATATGAGTCATCTTATACATCTTAGTCATTTCTCTTAGTCATCTTATTTGAGGCACGAGCACTTTATAACACAATATCGAAAATAAATATAGTAAAGGATTGTGGGGTATACCGAAGTTAGAAAATATGTCTTTTACTGCTGCTTCAATGGAAGAGAGGAGTAAGAGAATGAAAAAGTAAAGTGCCCTGTTCAAATAAGGCGTATTCAATCTGACTAACAAGTAAACTTGGAAAATAAAAGACATGAGTCAGCCTATTGAAATTTGAAGTCCATTAGAAATGTTTCTCTTAGTTCTGTTTTGTTCAACACTCAAAATTATATTGGGTTGGCTAAAAACTAAGTTCGCTTACATGCAACTCTCCATAAAAAAATTTTTTGTTTGTTTTATATCCATGAATCTCAAGACTCCCCCTATCTCGTAACAAAAAACCACACTTTCTACTATCAGTACGGGACAGGATAGCCAATGTTTAGTTGCTTGACTTTTACACTTTCGTTTTCGTGTTGTGATGGATTTAGAGATGAGTGCTAGTACACTGAAATGTCTTTGTGATCTGCCTTTTGAAATTCTTTAATCAGGAGTTGGGTTTCACTTCTTTGCGCCATTTCTCCTTGTAGAAATAGATTTCGCTCAAACAGTATTTATATTCTAGGTTTCTTTGAAGTGCTCTTTTCAGAGATGCCCAATACGAAGGAATTATTCTGCGCCAAATGTAGGAGCCGCAAAAGCGACTGAATTTTTGGTTGCCAACCTGTGTTGCGTAAGAGCAAACGTTTATGAAAGACTGACTTATGGCGAGTTGCTGCATAGTGTCATGTGGAGGAGAACGGAGTTCCGTCCATGTTTGACACTTGCGACTCAGAACTTTTTGTGCATAGTAGAGAAATTGGCATTTACGATACATCATGTCAGATCCTAACCGTCCCACCACCGTACCGGGAAGCGAACCTTGCGTCTAAATTAAAAAAACATTTCGAGATTTTGGATCTTCTGCGGGACGTACAAAGCTAGGCAGAGGCACGCTTGTGGTCAAATCCGGAATCTCGCATTTGATCATGTGGAACAATGGAGTCACATCAAGATCTCGAAGGCCCAGAGGCCAAGCTGAAATATATAGTCAATCACACCGTACAATCTCAAAATCTCAAACTCACCTCCTACCACATATTTGAAAGTCACTTCGACTGTGCCATTAGCAGAATATGAGTCGCTGTTCAAAGGGGTGTTCTGACAAAACACACATAAAGCTAGGATTCATAAAATCAGTCAAGAACATACCAAGTAAACCAATGATGACAACTCTAACTTGGGACTAAAAAGCGGTTTTGGTGCAGCAATCGAAAAAGGCTCGGAAAAAGGCCCACATCCAGACGGAGATACGGCTGCCACACTTGAAAATGCGAAATTTAATAGTAAGTCGTGAAAGCACAACTTGAAGGCTCTCCTCAGAGCTCCCTTCAAGCCGACCAAAGATAAGGTGCACCAACCGGATTTCAACAGGATCACAAAAGATGGACTCAGGTCTCAGATCATTTGTTACAAGAGGCTGTAGTGAGATCTAAAAGAGGAAATGATAGACCCGACAGCGATGACGGTTTCATAATACTAATTGAATGATTTTACCGCATAGAGAGAAGAGAAATTAGCTTCTCTCGATGATTTGTACTGAACTATGTAACATGTGGCTTCTTCAACGGGGTGGAAAACAAGGACTGTTGTCAGATTCTTTTGCTTCAACTCAAGCCCACTGACAGCTTCAAGAGAAGTCGCGGTGGTGAGATTGTGGCATTTGTCCCAACAGTTTCCGTCTGTTGCATCCTGGGATCGTCTGAGATGAAAGAGCCATAAAGTGAGCAGCCAACAAAACTTACACAAAGCTGTGGGTCATCGTAGGGTTTGCACTCTGCTAAGCATTGTGGCACAGTATTGTTCTGAAAAAACAAAACGAATGGCGCTTATCTGCTTTTCTTTTTTTGAGGTTGATAGAGCGATAGACCTGATCCTAAGTACAAAATCGCTTATAATCTGTGAAAAAGACACAACAGTCACCTAAAATCGCGTCGCTTGGCCATTTCTCGGTTTAGAGTGTACGAACTTGTGATTCCAAGCATACTGCTCAATTTAGCTCAACGCTGCACATCTTTCGATTCAGAAATGTCTGTTTGGGTGGGTAGGTATACGGTAAGACAAGTCTACGGTCTGTCTTTTAAGATCGATAATGAATGCATGTGTTAAAAGCAGTGCCCGGGCAAAAAGTCGATTCTAAGATTTTGTACTTACCCCGGGTCCATTCGCTATGCTGAATCCGAAAATTCACACTGGAGAGCGCGAAAACGGCGAAACAGGGCTCTAACACAGGAGGAAATTAGCAGGTGGGAGGGGTCTGCCCCGCTTAGATTCACGCTCTTAGCTTCCCCAATCTTCGCGATTCCGCTAGCCGCCGTGACATCGCCACCGGCCAAACCGAGAAGATCGCTGCGGGAACTGGGAAGAGGATTAACGGTGGGGAAGATCTCACCCACCTGCTGATTTCCCTTCTGCGTTGCGTTAGCTTTTTCGCTGTTTTCGCGCTCTCCAGTGTAGACTTCGTATTCAGCATAGCGAATAGGGTTGGTTAAGCACAAAAACTCAAAATTGCCTTCAATCAGCGCGCACTGAGTGATCAGAAAAGGTGAAAATGCGGTACTTTTCCGTTATCCGGACCCTTTTTTTCAAAAAGCTCTCATAAAATACGTTCTTCAGTCTAAGAACAATTTTTTAGGGAATCCACGAGGACTGCCTCCCTGCCACGTGTCAGAAAAATATTAACACGTTTTGGTCCATTCTGACATGTTTTTTTCGAAATCACTTCCGGTGAGGTAAAACAGCATTTGTGATCACCTAAAAGCTGTTTAATTGGTTTTTCTGAGAGCGAAACAATCTGAAATCTATATCAGAGCATCTTGATCGTTTTCAGCAACGACTCAGCATTGTCTTCTTCAAACTTTTCGTCTTGCGAATTTAGCCAGACGAGACTATAAATGATGGCTTAAAGTTCCTTGCTACAGGTTGTTTTGTTATTTAGCAGATGATGGGATCCTAGTCCACTTCTCTATTCTTGGCAAGTCTAATCTGTTTAATTAGTAACAGAATAACGTTATTATGATAGCAATCTCATTTTTGATAGTTTAATCGAAAATGGGGTCACTGTTTACTAATAAAATAATTGAGCTCACGTCGCTACGTAGGGCAACTCAAACTCTTGGTTAAACCTGTCATGTGAATGACATGTCAAATTTTTTTTGACACGTGGCAGAAGGTTGACACTCCTTCCTGTGAAGTCGGGATCAAATATGGTACGAGGGAAGAAGCAATGCTTGTTTAAAGAAATGGGTCCGGATAACGGAAAAGTACCGAAAATGCTCCTGAGACTGACTGCATACTATCCACGTATCGCACCGAGAAAGTCAAATTAATCATAGAGCTTGTGAATTTAAATGAGTCGTGTAGTAGAGGTGGGTTCGATGCAGTCATCCCGTCATACATACACAAAAGCATTGATTGGCTTTGTAATATACTCGCCCACGTTTCTTTTACTTTTCGCGGACTAAAATACGATATAGATGGAGTAGTAAGAACATTCAAGCTTTTTATTCGTCATTCGCAATGACAGAACTCTCTTAAGGTCGCGCATGTTACTGATTGAGTATTTATTCGCTGTGTTGGACACCAAAGCCCACTAATATATTGGTGACGTCTGCACGAGAAACTGTTTAAAAAGCTACAATATCACCTGAAAAGAAAGAACGTTGATAAATGGATTACCTTTTGTTCGCCTATGCAGGCAGCAGTGCAGCGGAATAAACACTTCTGGGAACGGGTGAGATCTTCTGCGTAAATTGTCAATGGGAACCATAACAACAAAAATAATGTATAGTTCATGGAGAATGAAAATCCATAAGGCTCCTGATCTAAAACTGGAGAGATCAATACTTTGAAGAAAGATGCCGATTGCGATACCAGATCAATACACGAGCTGAGTTTCAGTATGCAAAATCAATCTTTAAGATGAGAACGAAAATTCACGAAGGTACCTACTAACAGACTGGTAACAAAAATGAAACCTTGTTGACAAATTACATTTCCGTTTAACTGCAAGAAAGGCTTGAATAAGCTGCCAAAAATTTAAAAAAAAATTAAGCACGGTGGTTGCAATGAAGGCATCAGGTGATAAAGATTAGATGTTGTATATGCGGAGTACTTCAAAAATCGTCTAGACATCCAAGTTTAACAGCACAAAGTGTAGTGGAGTTTCGGGATTATATGTTGAACAGACGCTTTATTATCCTTCGCTTTTACGAAAAAGTTTGTTCCAACAATAGCACACTGGAATGCAATTCTTCTTCGAACTTGGGCATCCAAATATTCTTCTTCGAACTTGGGCATCCAAATATGTGTTTGATTAATCACAATGCCGACTAGTTCAAATAATGCACGTGACCTGAAGCTTCGTCGTTTTGGAAAGTCGTCTTCCTCGGAGAGCAGAAAGCTTCGCGCAATTCACTTTTTCTACCAAAAACAACTTTAACAAAGAAAGCACCTGGGCGAGGACTTAAAAGGATGACCGTAAAGGAACGGACATTCTAGAAGCTTGATGGACTTAATATTGTAATTTCGCTGTCTTGTACGCTGTAGCCTAGTGTACATTCATAGCAGAGTAGTAAGATAGCAATCTGACTTTATCAAATTTGAACACTGAGCGGCTTTGCACCTTCAAATACGTAAGGCGCCTTCTCGTTGCCGCTAAGCTACACGTAAAGAAGATGATTTTCAAAAAAGTGAGTAAGCGTAACAAGGCTCCCGCTCAATCAAGCTTTCCAGACCTTTCCTTACTAATTAGCATTTTTTCCAGTCCTTGGAGCCTATCAAAATGATAATAGGAATTAATGAATACTAAATTCAGAAACCCCATTTCAGGCTTCCACTCCTCTGAGAGCTGTTCAAATAAAAGCATAAGAACATTAGGAAGTGCTTCTAGGAAGGTACTATACACAACGGTGCTTATTTTCTTGTAGGGAATATCACCTAACTTAGGTCGGCCTTCTGAAATGAAACACATATGTTTAGAATCAGCTCGAAATGCTGATTTCAAATATGCTGTCTAGCTGCGAAGCGTTTCCCTGAAGTTATGGGCTTTTTCCTGAACAAAGCTTGCGTGTTGACTGCCTTAAAGATGCCACGATACCATCATCTAGGTAGTGGTTCAAATGCCTAGTATATCCTATCAAGGCTAAATGACTCATTTTGATGTTACTTCAATTTTCCACCATTTTTTGGAGCAGACTCCGTCTACAAGCCTTTTTTCCATATTTAGTTGTATGTCAATAACACATGCTAAAAACTCATAACTCGCTTCAGAGAAACGCTTCGCAGCTAAGGAAAGCATATTTGGAATCAGCGTTCCGTGCTGATTCCAAATATATGTGTATCATTTCAAAAGGCTGACCCCTTAGTTAAGCGACTTTCCTTGTTAGAATCGAGGATGCAAAAACGTAAAAGTTTCCGGATGGCCCAATAGCATATCTAGGGAAAGACTATTTCCCTTGCAGTAATTTCAATACCCATCGTTAACTGGTTGGCAGATTCGGATGGCAATTTGTGAGGGAACGATATGTGGCTAACATTTTGAGATGCTTCGTCAACTATTAATTAGCAATTAGCGTTCTACTCTTCAGAACCCTGATGAGTGCGCTCATCCTTGTTTTCAAATTGGACTATGGATAAATTTCGGCAATTTCAATACAATCCTCAAGGGAAATCTTCAAACACGTCTGTGATTTTGAGTTCCACAAAAAATTAATATTAGTGCTGACAAGAATTGCGCTTAGGTGGTGCTTCAACCTGCCCTTCATGCAGCTTTCCTTTGCTACTTTGCAGTTGGCATGGACTTGGTCATCCTCTTTGTCCTTGTGCCTTGTGGGCTTGATCTGTTTTGGAGATTGTGATGTGTCAAAAAGTCGTTTTGTATTCGGTTGAAGATCCCAGCCAGTCAGTACTCAGAGGAATGTCAGAAGCCTGCTTTCGGATTCATCGCAGAAAGGCTAAGGAGAAAAAAAAGCAGATGCAAGATTCGTTTGGATGCTGTTCTTATTACACAGAGAAAAAAAGTTGTAGTAAAGCAATAGTTGTGTAGCCTATTTAAGAGTTTAAAGTATTCTTCCGCAATTTTGTTGTCAGGCTGGTCAGACCAAAGTAGTAACTGATTTGGGCTTCTTGTTTATTAGGTTGTCCGGAAATTAATGCAGGTTTTGAATTCCAACCGCAATAAGTCATACTCTTCTCATTTCTAAGTAGGTTGCAAAACAGCATTCGATAGAATAAAGCAAGCTCTACAAGACGGCTATCTTGTTCTAGCAACATCTCCGATCAACCACGATTTTCGAGCCAAAAACTGGAAAGATTTAAGTGTTTGAAAAATTGAGAAAAATCGTAACTGAGTTTAAAAAAATCCTACAAAAATTCTAACTTGCTCATGTAAACACAATCCACATAGGGCATCTATATACGCCATTGTCGTAATTTTTTCTCTGTTAGAAATCTAGAAAACGGAAATTTTCGTGCATTTGTCAAAGTGATACTGTGTCGTTCCCACATAAATAGTTGTATGCTATAAACCTTAAGATGTACGAACGTAAATTTCCAGCTCTCTCCAAGCTTTAATCCTCGAGAAATTTGAATTTTAGTTTGGACCGCACGAGACGAAAACAGTACTCAATACTTTTCGAGAACTGAAATTTGTAGAGGGCTGGAAATTTACATTTGTACTTCTACAGGTTTGTAGTACACAACTACTTATGTGGGAATGGCACAGCATCACTTTGGCAGATGCACGAAAATTTTCGTTTTCTTGATTTCTAGAAGGTGAGAAAAGACGGCAACGGCGTATATGTCTTATGTGGATAGTGTCTACGTGAGCAAGTTAGATTTTTTGTAAGATTTTTTTTGAACTTAGTTACGATTTTTCTCAATTTTTCGGACAGTTGAATCCTTTTAGTTTTTGGCTCGAAACTCGTGGTGTTTCAGAGATGTTGCTAAAGCAAGATAGTCATCTTGTAGAGCTTGCTTTGTTCTATCGAACGCCGTTTTGCAACCCACTTAGAAGAAGTGTATGACTTACTGCGGTTGGACTTCAAAACCTGCATTAATTTCCGGACATCCCTAGTAGTTCGCAAGGATGAAACGCCACCAATTTGGTTGCTCAATACAGCATGTTACAGGTTTCATACCGAGAACTGGGAAAGGAAAGCTGGCTTGCTGATTGCTAATTCCCAGCAATCGTGATTTCGAGTAGTTCACAAAGATTGGTGCATAAAACAAAAAAATATCCAAACCGCAAAATCTGATGTCATGAATTTTTCCTTCATTTTGCGATTTATTAAGTCATCACGCGAGTCTGATTTTCCCTGCACGCTCCCCTCCCCCCCATGCTCTGAATTCACCCCGCGCAAACATTTTGTCGAAGACCAACGTCCCAGATTTAGCTCACTAACCCTGTAGATCTAACTAAGATTCGACGTCCTAAAAACGCTTTTCTGTTTGGTCTGTACTGGAACATGCCATGAAAAACTGAAAAAGTTGAATGTTGCGTACTACTTAAGTAGTAGAAAGGCTTAGCAACGACTTGCTAATCATTTGAAAAATTCAGCTTTACCTATTTCGAGTGGTATGATGTGTTCAGGTTTGAATAAAGTGCTGGCGTTTGGAGGAAAGGCGCAGGTTTTCCTCGAGAATAGGTTACACAGTGGACGTGGAGCAGTGCAAGGACATTTTTTGCACTATTTCTCTTCGTTTCGACTGTAAAGAATTGGAGAAACAGCGAAGAGAGTGCCAGACCCATCAATGACATATATCAAACGAATTCATTGCATGCCTCGGAAACCAATGTGACGTAGCTATCGCATAGTGCTCAACAAAGCGGGTTCCGAAGCGCGGTGCTTGGGGTTCGATAGATTATGCGAAATTTCCAAGAAATCTTGGCCACAGAAAATCGAATTTTGAAAAGCCAGGATTACCAACTAGACTTGAGTGAATCAATTCTTTAGCTTCACGCTGATATGATGGTTAGAAAAAGCGCAGCAGTGGATAAACAAGTTATCTGTTCCTAATGTTTAAAAGCTCGCATTTACACGAAAACTTAGGCTTACATCACATAGCAGATAAGCCCAATTCTCGCAAATCGCTGCTGTCCATTACATACGGTTTTTCTCTCTCATTTGGACATAAGTTCCAAGAGACAACTTAGTAGATAGTGGTGATCATACCATTGTAAGAAGGAACGATATCCTACGCTGGCATATGCAGACGTTGACAGATATCTTCAATCAGCATAGCTGAGAACAATCTGATAAGGGTTGCCGACTGATATAAAAGAGGGACATAATGAGGTTGTAGAGGAAGACTCCGCTGCGGAGCGGTATACTCATTCTCAGAACTCCCTTCATCAACCGCTGCTGTTTTATCCATGTTAAACCGGCCCAACTCTTGCTTGATGACAGCTTTAATTTTTATAATACTTGCCCTTTAAGGGCTCATAAGTGAAGTCAAAAAATATATTCATCATCAAACCTTGTCTGCTTGTTAATCGAAATCATTTTGCTGGCAAAAGGGGGCATGGGTCATCTCCATGGATCACATTATTCAATTCTGATAATTATAATCATAGAGCAGTCAAATACACGCTTTTATCACATTCTTATCCAGACTGGACTCAAACTACATGATGCAATATCGTTGCGGTTAGAATACGAATAACTGTTTTTTTTTCTTGTAAGGAGCGCCACGAGCGTATTGAATAATTAAATAAATAAATTCTAATTGTAGATGGAGACAGTCCAATTGTTTGAAAACACAGAACTCTACTTATTCTCCCTTGAGAGAAGTATTTATACTGCCCTCACATAATTTCCAACGATGCAGAT